GACAATGCGATCAAATGACGTTAGGTGTGCCCTCAAAGCACTAATATGCATGCAGTTGTTCGCAATCGTTATACATGTTGGTGTTTAATCTACACACGTTAACCCCTAAAGCCATCATACAGAAAATGGTCAAATGCAACATATGTTATATTTGGGATTACACTTTCTTAGTAAAGTGGACCTGTGAAGATAGAATAGGTCTTCAGCAACCCATGTGCTGGCCATAAAAGGCGACTATGCTTGTCGTAAGAGGCGACTAACGGGATCGGATGGTCAGTTTCGTAGACTTGGTTGACACATGTCATCGGTTCCCAATTGCGCAGATCGATGCTCATGCTGTTGATCACTGGGTTGTCTGGTCCAGACTCGATTATTTACAGACCGCAGCCATATAGCTGGGATATTGCTGAGTGCGGCATAAAACTAAACTCACTCACTCACTTAGTAAAGTACAAATTCAAGTACTTTTGGGGTTGAGTCCCATCCGGGATTCGAAGGTGAGGGTGTGGGTTCGAATCCCGGATGGGACGCAACCCCCAAAATACTAGAATTTGTACTTTACTAAAAAAGTGTAATCCCAAATATAACATATGTTGAATTCAGCTTACCGAATATTATAAAATGTAGTATTTTTTGTGAGTTTAAGTAATGGCTAAATTTACCTACAATCACCAGCTCTGAGATGTAAATCCAGCTAAGGTACATGCAGGTAGCAAAGGTACGCATGGTCTCTAGTATGGTGACCTACCTTCAGCTAATGGTGATCTATAGCCCGTTTTAGCCCGGGATATACAATAATATATAACTTTGTATCGATTCATTGTATCGATCGATGCATCAATGCGTTATGAATCGTCACACCACTAGTTATAATGTGGGACATTGATATTTTCTTTGTATCAACAACGAGAATGAGACACAAGCTTTTCTGAAAATAGAAACAGATATGATGGATTTATTGCGGAATTCATCAAACAATCAAGGAACTGTGAATTACGTAAAGCTAAGTGCAGAGGTTAAATACCATTGTCTACATACATTTTTATGGGGTTTTGTTTTGGTTTTTATTGCAAAATTGGATTTGTACCTGTACTCAGCCTCTGACAAATAATTGAGATGAGGTGTTCTCTTGCTGTTAATTCATCGTGATTTATGATACTATTACCATATCAAGCATTCAAGCATTTCCATCAACTTAAGTGTTCATGTCCATCAAACACCTGCCTGTACATAGGCGGTTGAAGACTTCCTCAACTGATTAGTGTTTCAGTAAATATGTATACTATACATTTTGAGAACATGTTTAAAATTTATCAAGTTTTTCTATATTTCAGAAAAATGGATAAATGCAAAACCAAAGAAGACGATTCTGGCAAGATTCAAGCGCAATATATGTCATACAGGCAATCATTATCTTTTTTAAAGGAAGGCATTTAAGAAAAAGTCAAATTGTACTTTCTGAATAATATTTCTTGATTGAGTGCTAGAGCTTTACTTTTGTAGGATATAATGCATAGCTTTAGCTTGTTCCATGCGGAATTTCCTTCTTGTGTTCAATATAATTAATCCCCGATAAAGAATTCTCAAATGATTATATTAATTCACAATTTCCACCGTTTCCTATTTATTTCCAAAGAAATATTTCCATCTTCTGTTCATTCCCAACATAATAGACTTCATTTCAAACATACCCTTACAAATGAATATTAAATTTTATATCTTTCAAATATATCTACATTCTTTTGCATCTTTACAGGATTTTGGGCATACAATATATTGCCATCCTCATGCACTAACACAAGTAATACAACTTATACGTAAGTTAAATTATTCAATGGATTTAAGATAATAGTTGTCCCTTTACTTCAATGTGATCCAAAGAAAGTTTCCCTGTATTCTAATAACAAACTAAACAGCATTGGTGATGAGTTCGCACCTGGCCTTACAGTTAGTGACAATGTTTTAACATGTGTGGGGTGTAACTATGGTCTCATTATATCAATAATACCATAACTGACATGAGCTCTGATGTGCATCCAGGGGCTACTGTGTTATAGTTCAAACATTCGTCAATACAGGCAACCAAGGCCAGGCAAGTCCTGACTATGCAAAACATGCCTGAAACTATTGTTCCCCCCAGGATGGTAAAATAAACATCACCTGTTAAATCTGCTTAAAGGAGCAAACAGCGTTCAGTAAAGCTGCTTAGAGGGCATCGAGAGCAAAGAACTTAAGCGGATACGGCTGAAGACGTAAGTGAAATTGGCCTGCGGCTGTAGCCCGGTTTGTCAGGAGATGTCGTGTATTTGGGTTAATATTAACGTGTAGCCCGGTTTGTCATGTGATGTCTAGAGGTGTTTGGCAGGTGATGTCTAGAGCTGTGTGTCAGGTGATGTCTTGAGCTGAGCGTCAGGTGATGTATTGAGCTGTGTGTCAGGTGATGTCCAGAGCAGTGTGTCAGGAGATGACTTGAGCAGTGTGTCAGGTGATGTCTAGAGTAGTGTTTCAGGTGATGTCTAGAGCTGTGTGTCAGGTGATGTCTAGAGCAGTGTGTCAGGTGATGTCTAGAGTAGTGTGTCAGGTGATGTCTAGAGTAGTGTGTCAGGTGATGTCCAGAGTAGTGTGTCAGGTGATGTCTACAGCCGTGTGTCAGGTGATGTCCAGAGTAGTGTGTCAGGTGATGTCTAGAGCCGTGTGTCAGGTGATGTCTAGAGTAGTGCGTCAGGTGATGTCTAGAGCAGTGTGTCAGGTGATGTCTAGAGCCGTGTGTCAGGTGATGTCTAGAGTAGTGTGTCAGGTGATGTCTAGAGCTGTGTGTCAGGTGATGTCTAGAGTAGTGTGTCAGGTGATGTCTAGAGCAGTGTGTCAGGTGATGTCTAGAGTAGTGCGTCAGTTGATGTCTAGAGCAGTGTGTCAGGTGATGTCTAGAGCCGTGTGTCAGGTGATGTCTAGAGTAGTGTGTCAGGTGATGTCTAGAGCTGTGTGTCAGGTGATGTCTAGAGCAGTGTGTCAGGTGATGTCTAGAGCAGTGTTTCAGGTGATGTCTAGAACTGGATTTCAGGTGATGTCTAGAGCTGTGTGCCAGGCGATATCTAGAGCCGTGTGTCAGGTGATGTCTGGAGCTGTGTGCCAGGCGATATCTAGAGCAGTGTGTCTGGAGCTGTGTGTCAGGTAAAGTCTGGAGCTGTGTGTCAGGTGGATGTCCAGAGCTCTATGCTAGGTGATGTCTAGAGCTGTGTGTCAGATGATGTCTAACGCATTGTGTCGGGTGTTGTATAGAGCAGTGTGTCAAGTGATGTCTAGAGCTGTATGCTAGGTGATGTCCAGAGCTCTATGCTAGGTGATGTCTAGAGAAGTGTGATATGTGATGACCGGAGCAGTGTGTCAGGTGATGACTGGAGCAGTGTGTCAGGTGATGTCTAGAGCAGTGTTTCAGGTGATGTCTAGAGCAGTGTGTCAGGTGATGTCTAGAGCAGTGTTGTGTGGTGTAGTGTGGTGTGGTGTGGTGTGGTGTGGTGTGGTGTGGTGTGGTGTGGTGTGGTGTGGTGTGGTGTGGTGTGGTGTGGTGTTATAGTTGATTTAACCTAATAAGAATCACAAAGGAATTATCACCATACTTTTCGCCCAAACGAACCCCAATCGAATCGTGTAGCTAATACAACAGACAACCCAGCCAACTGATCAACATCGTGAGCATCAATCTACGCAACTGGGATACGATGACATGTGTGAACCAAGTCAGTGAGTCTGACCACCCGATCCTGTTAGTCGCCTCTTACGACAAGCATTGGTCTAACTTGGATTGTCACGGGTTCGTTTGCCAAGTACACATTTACCAAACTTTAATATATACATTATGGCACTCGAATATTAACAACAAAGTAAAGATAAGTTATATGGGTGAAAAACTTTATTACAATTAGGAGTGACAATTCGATGAAGATTCAACCACCGTTAACATGCAAGTGATGTACAGTGTATGGTTGCAAGGCTTTATTACAATTAGGAGCGACCTTTTTCAATGGAGTGACCTTGTGAAGTCAGTGCAACTCATTCAGGTGAGCCAAGTATGGTACTCTTCAAAGAGAACACGTTTGAAAGAATGACAACAAGGTTATATGTCATATTCTCTAGCAAAGTGCGTGACGAATTTCTTATCCTGTACTTTACGGTATTCAACCACTATTATGATGCAAGTGATGTACAGAGTATGGTTGCAAGGCTTTATTACAATTAGGAATGGCATTTCGATGGAGATTCAACGACCGTCATCATGCAAGTGCAGGAAAGATTATTGTTGCAAGAAAACTACGAGGAAATGTTTTTACAGTTGTATGGATTGGGTGTACTTTCAAAAAAGCGGAGAAGCCTATGGCATGAAAAAACGAACAGATCCGAATCAAAAGACTCCAAGAAACAAACGTGATCAAGGCTACCTACCTCCAGCTTACCATCAACTCATCAAAGATTCCAATCAGACATAATCCTTATTTATCATTTTGTTTTTACTAGAGGCTTTACCTTTTTTAATGTAGACCTTTCGTTAATATTGGAAATCATAAACCCTAAAGTTCAGTTACCTAGTCTAGCAGAAAATGAGTTTCCAAACTCAGGTTCGATATTTTGTTATTTAGGACCGCAGTCTGCAATATTCTAGTTGTATGGCATAAAACGGAGACACGAGCAATTCGAGCAAACAGTGACGAACGGTGTGATGATTTAAGGATTCCATCCCTAACACACACACACACACACACACACACACACACACACACACACACACACACACACACACACACACACACACTCACACACACACACACACCAAAAAAAAAACAACAACAAACAAACAAAAAAACAAACACACACACCCAAAACACACACACACACAAACACACACACAAAACACACCCAAAAAAAACAACACACACAAACAAACACACACACAAACACACACACACAAACCAAACAAAAACAAAACAAAACAAAACAAAACAAACAAACAAAAATACAAACAAACAAAAACCAAAAACCTAAAATCATCAAGGGGGGAAAAAGCATGTGCTATTCGTTCAGGTGAGCCAGGTTTGGTATACTAGTAATTCAAAGAGAACACGGAAGATTGGCAACAAGGTTATATTTCACATTCTCTAACAAAATGCGTTTTGAGTTCCTTATCCTGTCCTTTAAAGTAGTTATTTGCATGGACAGTCTTCAGAGTTGCCGAAGTGAGGTCACACCTCCCGTTTGCCCAATCAGCTGACCGACAGACAAAGTTGGTCGTGCTTGAGCAGTGTTCTCTGCACTGCTGTCTAGTGACCTCCCTGAAAGTAGCCATGTTGTTGTGACCGATGTGGTAGCCGTGTACTGCAGTGTAATGAGGACCGTACGAGGTGCAAGCTGTAATGAGATATTTCACCTCATAAATAAGGAGGCATCATGAAGATGTTAAAATGCTGCATATAATTGTCAGCAATGAAGACTGACAAAAGGCAGTCATATAACAAAAGCTTTAATCAACACGTCAACTTTGTGACAAAAAGTAATAATTCATAGTAATACATCCATCTTATATGCTGAAAACTTACACCTGGCACTTTTTCATAGTTACTTGAGAGCATCATTATTAGAAAGATAAAATTGTACCTACTGGCATTGCAGGTCGCTGACAGTGGTGAGAAGGACAGCCCTGGGTCACACATGCACTCCGAGTTGACACAGACAGAGTCTGGCACGGTGCACTCCGAGTTGTTCTGACATGAAGATCCAATAAATCCTACCGCTGAAAGAGAAAGAGATGGTTTAGAGTTCTAATCCGTCATTTTGAGGCAATAAGCTAACCAATCTTGAAAATCCTAAAGTCAACTATGGTTGAAAAACTGGACTTACTTAAATACTTACGGACTCACAAATCTGAAAAATACAATCTGCTAGCAGATTAAGGTTAATCAAACTTATAATTTCTGTCATGTTTTCATTTTGTAGGTTTTATTTTGGTTTATTTGCGGTCATTATTCAATAAATCCATTCATCATTGAGATGATATATTGGTTCAGATTTCACCACCTATTCAGATTATTTGAGTTAGAATTGATCTTCAGCAACCCATGCTTGTCGTATGAGGCGACTAACGGGATCGGTGCCACACGATCAGACTAGCTGACTTGGTTGACACGTCACCGTATCCAAATTGCGTAGATCGAAGATCATGATGTTGATTACTGGATTGTGTCTACTCGAGATTCAATTAAATTATTTATTATATCAGCTGGAATATTGCTGCTTGCTGGCTGTTCGTTAGGCGAACAAACAATCAATCATTTAAAACCTCATGATATTTCAGTAAATATCATGCTGCACATATATGTCTCACATGGGTTTCTCACCCACAGGTATGTAAGAATATTCCATCGTGATCTTTACATTCAGGTTCCAAGGATCTGTGTGTTCCAAAAACACGCACCAGTTCCAGTTTCCAGTGCGGGTCCAGTTCAGTGAAATTCAACCCCAGACAGCCTCACGAACATTCAGACACTCAGCGACTAGATTGAAAACTCACTACTTCGAAATGACAATACAACTGAAACACTTGAGTCAGGGTTCATCTTAGCGTCCCTGGGCAGACTTTCACGGTGAGGTGAGGTGAAATTGGGTTTAACGTCGTGCTTGTGAATATTTCGCTCATATGACGACGTGCATGCGTGTGTGTGTGTGTGAGGCTGCTTGTACTCTAGCCCAGACTGAAGCTGGTTTTATAGTGCTAGCCCACTGAGATACCATGCCGTAGTGAAGCATAAATACCCCACTCAGACACATTCTACTGACTCCGAGCCGACCAGTCCTTGTTGTACCCATTAATGCCGAGCGCCAGGCAGGGACCAACAAGTACCATATTTTAACGTCTTTTGGCATGACGCTGTCGGGGATCGAACTCCGCGACCTTCCGCTCTCCGGGCGGACGCTCTAACCACTACACCACGGAGGCGGACCAGACTTTCACGGACTGGAAACACGCGCTGTTTAAATGACTAGTTTGATTAGTAGAAATGTTGACCTGAGCAAACGCGAACTTATGATCAAGTTAAAACACGGCATTCTGAAAAGGCATTATTGTAGTAGCTGCAGCGTCATGTTTGGGAATGTCCTGTACATCCATCAAAAACTAATTGAAGGCCGACTGAAAATGTACACTACCAACAACAGTAAAAGCGAGTTCGTGAGTGAAATACACCATCGTATCGGCACTATTTCAGCTATTATGGAACAAGACCGGGTTTAGACAAACGCAATATCATATACTTTCAACAAAATTGGAAGACTTCAAAAAATCATGTTTTCTGACTATTGTTACAGCATCAAATTCATTGTAAAAAGTGAGGGTGACTGGTATTTTTACCCTGATTTAATATTCCCACAACATCAGGGTAGTGGACACCAGATCGTGCAGGCTCCGCCAAAGACAGCGAAGTCATGATCTATTTTCAGCGGATTAACGAGACCTGTTAGGTGACGGAGGGTTATTTGATCCCTCCCCACTCACAGAGTAATACGAGGCCACCACCTTTGATTAGGTAAATGTGTTTGTTTCAATTTCCTACATAGCAGTATGTATACACAGGAGTTTACGCCATCGATGCTGTGTTCAACATAAGATCTAAGAACTCCTCTATAATTAGCATATAAGTGTTTCGCAAAACAGCTGCCACAATATCTCGCGAAGTGCGAGGCTGCAGTGATGGCAATGGGTTTAGTTTAGTGTTTCCTGAATCTCTAATTCTGTTCCCGCTAATTTTGCTTGAACCATTACCCACGAAGCGGAGAAAATACAACAAATGAACAATTAATTCTTTGACTCGTACAGAACATATCCTGGAGCTGAGTCACTGTAGAGGTGGGTTGAAGGGTTTGGCGTACTGACAGACAGATTCTTCTGTGTTCACTTGAAAACTAACACAGGTTTTCTTGGAAACAGTATTCAAGTTTTCAGAGTTCTTTCTCCCACAACAGCCTGTGAAGAAGAGCTGATTATCAGCGTGACGCCTGAGTATAGTGATAATTACTACACTCCTGAATCGACGCTTGTTGAATCCACCGAACACGTCCACCATAGTGCTGGTGGATATATAAGGAACTTCTGGACATCCTTGTCATATTCAACGCAGTTTCTGCAGTGGCGCGTGTATACGCGAGCGTCCTGACGAAGACTGTGCACTAGAAAACCTAAGCCAGCACTATTTTGTTTTGCTCGAAACAACCAGTAACCAGAAAAGTGTACAGTAAGTGGTGTGGTGTGGAAAACATTTCTTGCGTGACTGACGTTGTAAAACATCAAACAGATTTCGATGTGGGTGTTTGCATTAGTAACTGTTTTAGTTTAGACCGAAGATGTGTTGACGACAACAGTAAAAGTCTCTTTATCTGAACTTTATCAACTCCACGGATATTCTCAGATATCCATTGAGTGTTTGCTAAGTGATCGATAGTCGTCGCCTCAATAGGCAATAATAATGTTTGTAAACTTTCTAAACGTATTTATTTCGTCACTCCAGGCCACGGGGATATGATTCCTGTACAACATTAATACATCCGGGTTAGAACTGGTCTTACATGCTTCCTTGCAGGAGGCGACTAACGGGATCTGTAGTCAGGCCTGCTGACTTGGTTGACACATATCATCGTGTCCAAACCTGTCTGGACCAGACCTCGAATATTTCACTACCAGACAATCCAGTGGCTGGCATCATTACCATCGATCTAAACAACTAGGATACGATGACATAGATCAACCAAGTCAACGATCCCTACCACCTGACCAATAATTGCCTTCTTACTACAAAACACAGGTTGTTGAATATCATTTTAACCTGAGTCAGAGCATCTTAAAGTAGCTACTAAAACAGTAACTTATGGTCTACCGTGTTGAAACATTATTAAGATTTTGACAGATAGTTCTCTTATATGGGATAAAATGTTCGCTGTGAAGGTTAATAATATAAAGTGTAAGGGGACAAACATTTTGTATGGGGATTATATATATTTTTTCATTTCCAGTTGTAAAACCAACGGACCGTAATGGACACGTTTCTCAAATGATGCAGTCAGGATCTGAGTAAGTGAGAAGTTCCACGGCAGCATGTACCGCACGATCTGTAGGGCCAAGACACTTCAGCCCTAAATCACAAAATATGGTTATAATAATACGGCTATTGTAATATTCCATTTTGACAGGCGCTGTAGAGGGATCCTGATTTTACATCTATGGTTTTAAGAACGGAATCCTCAGACAACAATTCAGGCAGACACATACATTTGCGGACAGGTTGGCTGCACTAAATGCCCTATTTCCAGATGCAATGCTACCTTTACCTGATCAAGAGGACATATTGATGGAAATTCAGCAGGAAATTTCAGATGAATAATTTTGTCTATGTTATCGTTATTTCATATATTTACAATGCCAGCACACACACACACACACACACACACGTACACACACACACACACACACACACACACACACACACACACACGTACATACATACATACATACAATACATACATACATGTACATACATACATACATACATACATACATACATATATACATACATACATATGTACATACGTGCATGCATATGTACACACACACACACACTATTGAAGTTATGATGCTCTATGATGACATTTTACAGACTTTTTCTATAGAAATATCATTGATTGTTTTGTATACTTGTATATCAGCACAATGTAGTACCTATCAACGGCACACGTTGACTACATGTATGTGCTGTACCTGTAAATAAGTGAGTAAATAGTAAATACAGAAAGAGGACATTTCGATGGTAATCCAACAGCCAGAGCGTCCCCTCAGCCCCGAACACAGCCCAGAGTCATCCTTCTAGTCTAAGGTCATCAAAGGATTTGAATGGGAACAATTTTCCACTGAAATTATCCAGACCAGGGGAAGAAGATAACAGAGATTTTACCAGTGAAGTCGCCTTCATTTCAAAGCTTTACAGTTAAAATATCTGAACATATCCCGGGTCCAGGAAGAACAAGTGACTTTGACTAGACAATGCAGTAAGTAATGTAAGAGTGTGTCAATAAAAGGTTATTGCCATTTTAATGTGTTAAACTTCATTGTTTTAAACTTAGGTATAAAACTCTATTATTACCAAACTGGCCTGTGTTGAGCTGCTAATACTTACACTGTTTCACTAACTCACTGGTAGCTTGTTGGGGCAGTCAGCTTGGGGTCTGTTGTTCAAGGTCCCAGGTTCAATCTCATTCTTGACCAACTCTTGTTGTTCCGGGACAAACTTCCGAATAGCGACGTGGCCCATTCGTGACCAACTCTTGTTATTCCGGGACAAGCTGAATAGCGACTCGTTAGCCTCTGGAAGGATTTCATATTGGCGCAGGAACATCAGAACTACTTCAAACAGGAACGATAACTCTATTCCCTGTTTGATTCCAAGAGTACTTAATATCTGCCGAAGTACTCAATCATTGTATTGCTGTTTCTGTTTTTGCTTATTTATTTTAAAAGTATTAAGCCTCCTTGATACAACTAAAGAAGGGAGAAAAACATATTTGTTAAAGACATATTCTGACAGTAACCAGATGTTATTACCAGATGTTCACCTTATATTTCCAAATATATTTCTGAAGAGGGTTTAATAGTCACAAATGGGATGTGTTTCATTGAATATGCAAATAAAATTTATAAAAAAATCGTTGGCATTTTAATCCCAAAGCAGAAAATAAAATATCACTTTAAAGAATATACTCATGCCAATAATGGTTGTCACCTCCCCACCTAACCCACACACACACCTCACACCCCACCCACACCCCTCTCAATTAAAAATTATGAAGGGGTGTCTTAATAAATATTAGCATGAGTATATTTCTCAAACCGGACATAAGTGTAACCTTGCTGTCATACCCCAAGTGGAATTTTACATGAATTCGCTGAAAATATATCAATGACCGTAAAGGGGTGAGACTAAAAATATTCCCAGAGATATTAAATATATGTCAATGTTAAAGATTAAAGTTGATTAGTTACAAACAGATATAAGGTTATTGTTTTAAAACTTATAGGGATGTATAATTACATTCCTAAAACTGTTGGAAAGCGCACGTACAATCACCACAACAAGCCTGCAAGGTCGTCAGAAATACACTCAGTTGGACCAGTGAGAGCCATTATGTCACCAAACGCACGTTCGTGTATTTGAATGTCTCACCGTCATCAGCATGATTATCAAACAATTCACAATAGATAACACAATTCTCTTATACATTATTATTTCATAATATCTTTAACAATAACATAATGCACCATAAACGATTTAACTAGTCTGGAATATTTTTGCTGGAAATCACCAAAACCATTACGCGCGTTGTGATTGGTTTGTTGTTTTCACATACATAACAAGCATCGATAGGTGGACGAATCTTCTTGGAGGTTACGGAAGGGGCGAGTGGTGACGAATTGTTCAATCTCTGCACTGGCCTGTTGTAAAGGTGCCTATTGTTTCCTGGAATTTCCAGCTATCCCACCGACCTTCTTGTCCAGCTTTCTACTACCTTTCACTGGTGGCAGTCCACATCTTTCTCCTTGGCGACCACAGCTGCTTACCAGCACATTATGGAGTAAGTTCAGTGAGATGTTTTAGTAGTATATGTACTGCAGGGCTATTAAGTTTAGTGTTATAGATTACATGTTTTAAGGAATGAGTGTTATATAATATTTAGTGTATGTTACACTGTAGGTGTTTGTCTTTAAATATATGCATACTTAAAGTATTTTAGACAAATAAATGATGTGTGTGTTACGAGGGTACATTATACTGGTATGGAGTTTATTTGGTACAGTAAAGTATTTTATACCACCATGATACTGTACTTTTGTATCATGTATACATAACTTATGTATATGTATATGTATAGCCATGCGTATATTAGCTATTTTACGAACTGGCGTGATACAGTAATGTGTATACTTGTTGGTCCCTGCCTGGCGCTCGGCATTAATGGAATACAACAAGGACTGGTCGCCTCGGAGTCAGTATAATGTGTCTGAGTGGGGTATTCATGCTTCACTGGGACATGGTATCTCAGTGAGTCTAGCACTATAGAACCAGCTTAAGTCTTGGCTAGTACAGGCGGCCGTACATACACATACACGCATGCACGTCGTCATATGAAGCGAAATATTCTCAAGCGCGACGTTAAGCCCAATTTCACCTCCACCTCACCCAGTCCAGAATCGATTTATAACAGGCTGCTGTGACGATTTACATAAATGGCGAATTGAGGTGTCAAACAATATTCCTCCCTATTGGATATCCAGCTGCTGTTTCTATATGGTTATTACTGGGCCCCGTTTCACAAAGCTCTCGTGAAGCCTAAGATCGTGTAACTTTTCTCGTAGCATTCGTGCCTCCTCTACTGTAAGCTTGATGACCTACGATGGTCGTAGCGCTGCGAGAGCTTGGTGAAACGGGGCCCCTGATTCAGTCAATCTAATAATCTTGGCGATCATGATTCATCTTAAATCAACTTTGATCAGCCCAGAGTCCTTTCACGTCACTTATCTGTCGGAAACATATGAAACTGGTTACAGAGATTTTCTCACCAGATAGATATCTTCGCCATTTCTTTACGACTTAGCTTGCCTGCATGTCATCCTAGCCGCCTCAGCACCCTGTGGAGAGATGTCTGCCCTGAGGTCTACAGTGACATTCTGATCGTGTGTCCAGCATCCCATGACTATTACCGTGAAGATCCGGGTTAGGAATTGATCTTCAGCAACCCATGCGCCGACTCCGTGAAGATCCGAGTTAGAATTGATCTTCAGCAACCGATGCTTATCTCCCTGTGAAAATCCAGGCTAGAATTGATCTTCAGCAACCCATGCTTGACTCCCGTGGAAGATCGGGTTAGAATTGATCTTCAGCAACCCACGCTTATCTCCTGTGAAAATCAGGGCTAGGTAGATCTTCAGCAACCCATGCTTGTCCCTAGAACCAGTGAAGATCTGGGGCCGTGTTTATCAAACGACTTAAGTCATTAAAAACTTAAGTCAGTAGGCAGGTAGGCTTAAATCAACTCTTTTGACTTTAGAGTCATGTAGAAACAAAATGGCTGTCACACGTATTCCAAGAGTATTTAATGAAAGAAGAGAAGTTCTGCATACATTAGATGATAATGAGCTGTTACAAAGGTACAGAAACAGTATTGTTTACATCTGTGATTTACTAGAACACGATCTAAGTCCCGTAACGCATCGGGTTGTGCAGTGTCCTGCGTTACCAAAGTGTCGTCACTTTGCGTTATCTTGCCACTGTGGAATTTCAGATGTGTGCAATGGCGATGACCATGGACTGAGCCAACCCACCATCTCAAGAGTCATCGAACAAACTGCTTCAATCGCACTCACAAGTCAGCGTATGGTCCGTAGATTTGTCACCTTTCCACACCAAGCCCAAGATATAAAGAACGACACAAGCGTCGATTTTATCGAACTGCAAAACTTCCCCGGTGTAGTAGGTGTCATTGATGGCACTCACACGTTCAAATTCGACCCCATCAGTTAATGAGAATGAATTCATTAACAGGCATCACTACCACAGTATTAATACACAGATAGTGATTGACAGCGACTTTGACCGGATCATCGACATCGTAGCATGTTGGCCTGGCTCAACACATGACTCCCGCATCTTGACAACAAGCGGGTTATGTCGGATGTTTGAGGTGAACCAGTTACCATAACACCATTTTGCGTCCCAGCTTCCTGGATCACAGACAAACTACAACAGGTATAATTGCTATTTCTTCGGAGGTCAGCTTCGAGTACTAACCAATAGAGTGATTTCCCTTGGTTATGTGAAATACAATCTTCAACATAAAAAACGAAATGGAAGACTTACATATCTTTGCTAAATGCATTATTCCAGGCAACATGTCATTTACAATCATAATAATCTACTTCTTTTTGTTGTAAATGCATCTTGGGTGACTTATCAATGAAACAATACGTGTGGGCAAGTAAAGTGTATCATGATATCTCCATTTTGATTTAATACCACCCATAAATATTATATGATCATCTAGTGATTCCAGTTGTATTTATTGCAAATTTTCCAGATCACATACAAAAACGCCAGAAACTGTGTGGAAGAGGTATTGGACAACTGATGCGGACGGTTTCATGTACTACATGGAGAAATCAGACTTTCCCCACAAGAGGCTTGCAAGGTATAGCATTGTCAGAATGTTTTCTGTGGACTCCATTGAAGTTGAAGTTAAATCATAATTTTAGCACATATATGTCCCCAATAATACCCTAAGGACCTAATATGCATCAGGTAGATAAAGAAACCAACACAATTAATAAGATAAACAATAACTTTTATTTAATGAATACATTAACAAATCTCAAACAAGAATGTAAAAATGTCTACACTTTTTCAGTCCGTCCTAACATAAACAAGGTGGACAAGTCAGATATATGTGATCGTACTGTCAATAGCACCTCACTCAATATTGACAGATAATTATTGTAATCTAAAGTTCAACTGTAATAAAATTAGTTATCTCAATAATCATATTTAAAAGAATCATATTTAAGATGTTTAGACAATCAAATATGAGTATACTTATACTGTGATCCTAGGTTTATGAACCCTTAGAGAGGAACATTTTACGTGAAATGTTTTTGTGAAATGAAAATGGTATATATTCAAATATATCTGAATCGTGGCATTTTCTGTATAGCTACTAAATTAAAGCATAAAGATTGCCAGGATCAAATACTCTTAGTGTCAGATTAGTAGGGTAGGGATTTTACCAAAGAATTATTAGATGTGAAATGCATTCATGGAAGATTATGATGCTAGAAACATTGGTTATGACAAAATAACATTTTTTAGATGAAGGCCACATTAATTGCTGAATATCCCAGTGGTTAGGTATTCAACTAAAATCAGTTCCATGGGAGATTTTCTCACTAACATTACATTATGCTATTATTTGATAATCAATTACAATAAATTATCAAAACTAAATATTTCTTGGTCAAATACAATAAGTCCTCTACATCCTACTTTTTAATTAAATTGACTGAAATTTCTTGACCATTTGTTGTGTCTTGACTATGTTTTTTAAATATGTCCCTAGGTAATAATTACCTTACCAATGCGGTGCTGCACAATATCAACAAGAACAGGAATGTCCCAATGCCAGCTCAGAAGTGGGAGCGGAGGTCAACCCTGGACAGCTCAGGGCACAGATGCAACGTCTGCCAGCCATTGCTCCTACAGCATCAGGAGCCAGATACAGGGAACAATTTGCGATCCAGCTTCTTTTTAATGTACGTATTTCCAAAGTCTATCATGAAAGTCATAGAAATGCATTGATTATTAATTTCATATTCCTAAATGCAAGACCTCTAAGGGACCGTTCATAATTTATGTCTCTGGGGGAAAGAAATGATGATTGTCATGGAGAAGCATGTACAATGTGAATGACTCTAAAATTTACAAAGTACTTGCCACCCCCACCATGTCATGCACAAGGTCCATTTACCCACTCACGTCTTTTAACATAAATTAGTGTAATATTCACTATTTACAAAATTTCTGACCCCTAGGTACATGTGAGCAGTTGACACCCCCTACCTCCCAAGAACAAAATGGGTGACCACTCCTTAAAACTTAAAATCAACACACACAGAGGCAGCACACGCACACACACACACACGCACGCACACACACACACACACACACACACACACACACCACCACATTAAATTTTGAAAGGTCCCTAATAATTACAATGTATATACCCTAT